CCACATAAATAAATAAATGTATTGTGTCCCTCTCTACAGCTAAAAAAATTAACTAAATAAAAATAAAAAAGGGCTGGGATGTCACTCAGTGGTAAAGCATCCCTGGGTTAAACCCCAGTATAAAAAAAAAAATCTTAAAATACAATCACCAAATATTTAAACGTATATGAATCCATGTGAACTGTGTGTATATGTGTATGTGTGTATAACACACTCAGACATATACATAAATAAGTGGTAATGATACTGAAGCCAGATTTAAAGATAGGTAGTTAGTGTAGTTAGGTAAATCGGGTCTAATATCCAGTAAGAAATAAAGCAGAGGCTATTATAGAGACTGGAGTCCCAGAAACCAGAGCAGCACTTGGGAAAATTGAAATGTTAATGTCCCCAAAGCCCAGAGCCCATCCTAAGGAACTGTTAATGAAACAACTCCCAGCAAACAGGGAACTGCTAATCAAAAAGCTGCCCCAGGCCCTTCCTGCCCAGATTACTCCTTCAGTCCACCTAACTCCTACATTTTGGGCCTTTCCACCTGCATTCTATCACTGCAAGATAAAGGAAAACAAAGGACAGGAGTATGGGAAAGCTGAAAGAAGACCTTAGCTCTAAAAAAGGGAAGCCCTCCCCCTTCCATGGATCCCGCCTTTTGGGTCCCCTTCTTCCTCCTGGAGAAGTCTTTCTGCTGTCCTTTAATAAAGCCTTCCACTTTCCACTCTACACTTGCCCCAGCGTGCTTCTCTGGTGTTATACTTCAGCATTGGGGAAGCAAGGAATTGGTACCAGTAACAATACTCTTTGTAAAGATCTCTAATTGTTCTTTCACTATAGTGCAGTAATTAGAAGGAAAGACTTGAAAGAGCTAGACTGCCCAAGTTCATATCCCCGCTCTGCAACTTAGTAAATGGCAAGTTACTTAACCTCTCTATTCCTCAGTTTTCTTATCTATTTGATAATGATAATAGTAACATATTGCAAAAGGGCTTCTGAAGGATTAAATGAGTTAATATAGGTAAAATGCTGAGAACAATTCTTGCACAGAGCAAGTACTATGTGTTAGCTACTTGATTGCTTGCTTTTTGTACCACAAACTGAATCCAGGGGCACTTAACTATGGAGCCACATCCCCAGCATTTTTTTTTTTTTTTTTTAGGTACTGGGGATTGAACTCAGGGGCACTCAACCACTGAGCCACATCCCCAGCCCCATTTTGTGTTTTATTTAGAGACAGGGTCTCACTAAGTTGCTTAGCACCTTACCATTGCTGAGGCTGGCTTTGAACTCATGATCCTCCTGCCTTAGCCTCCTGAGCTGCTGGGATTACAGGCATGCGCCAATGCACATGGCTGTCTGCCTTTTTTAAATATTTTACTTAGAGAAAGGGTCTTGCTAAGTTGCTCAGGGCCTCACTAAGTTGCTGAGGCTGGCCTTGAACTCACAATTCTCCTGCCTCAGCCTCCAGAGCCACTGGGATTACAGGCATGCACCACATGCCCAGCCCTGCTTTCTTTTTGACTAGACATAATGGTTCTAAATAGTTGCTTCAGTTTTCTGTGAAATTGTTATGTACCCATGGCCTTTGAGACATAAGAAGTATCCCTTGTACCTTCCTTAGGCATCTACTCTCAATTATTTCTTGAAGATTGATCACTGAAATCAGAAACGGAAGAGGGAAGGAAGAAGGGACCCTTGTATCTCCTCCTGGTAAATTGAAAACCCCAAGTGAGTCTACAGTCATCTAGCACCACATCCTATGTGAAGTAAGAGTTAACAGAATCAATACTTTTTTAAGCTTTAATGCATTTTGCTTAGCTGGTAGCTTTGACTTTCTCCTGTCCAGACACAGGAGCTGGCACATTTTGGGAAAAGTTAAGGACATCACAAGAATCATATATGAGTCATTCATCTCCTTTCCTCACATACACTCAGTCATCAATTCCTGTCCATTTTTTTTTTCTTGAACATCTTTCTTAATCACCCCAACCACAATAACATGCTCTGTTGAGCCCCACCAGGTAGGGGAAGACACCAGGAAATCATGTTCTGCACTGAACATGTACAGAGCACATCTTTCCAATGGAGACCTGCAAACCCCAATTGCCACAGAGCTTACATTCCAGTGGCTCCCCTAACTAGTCAAGTCTTCCAGCTTGATTTTCCTCCAGGGTCATTTCCCTTGGGCTGTGTCCAGTTCAGGGCCTTTAGGAGCAAACAAAGCAGGGCACAGTGGCACGCACTTGTAATCCCAGTGGTTCAGGATGCTGAGGCAGGAGGATTGTGAATTTAAAACCAGCAACTTAGCGAGACCCTGACTCAAAATGAAAAGGGCTGGGGGTGTGGTTCAGTGGTTAAGTGCCCCTGGGTTCAATCTCCAGTACCCCCCCCAAAAAAAAAGGCAAATAAAGCTCTTCTGTCTGGACTGACCTTGCCAATACCCTCTCCTGCCAACTTAGGCTCCTTACTGACCACAAAGGAACACTCTTACCTTCACCTCTGGGTCTGCTCCTGCTAACCACCTCCTACTGGGAATCACTTCTCACATACTCAAATTCCACCAATCTTTGAGGTCTAGCTTAAATATTACCTCTTCCATAAAACTATCAACCCTCACAGTTTCCTCTGTTCTGAATGCCTATAGTATTTATTGTTTGGATTACACAGTTCAGCCTTAATAAAAAGCAGTCTCATATATATCATTTGCTTCTTAATGAATAGTCTGCATATACTTCCACGGGTCCCAACTGGTTCTGCCCTGCTGCCCTGTAAAGCAACCAGCTCCTCTGCCAACTAAGGATTACCCTCGCTTCTATTGAAAAGGACACTAAGTACAAGGGTTAAGGGCATGGCCTCTGGAATCAGGCTGCTTGGGTTAGAGGCCTCACTTCTCCACTTTTTTTGGGCAAGGGTCTTAGCCTCACTGTGCCTCAGCTTCCTCACATACAAAATGGAACTAGTAACAACACCTACGGTTTAGGCAGTAAAGATGAAATGGAATAGAAAGCACTTAGAAAATTGCTGGGCATAGAGTAAATATTATATAAATGCTGCCTCTTATTAGGACTTGCCACAAAGTGGGCTATTGAGCTAACCAGACTAAAACTAAGCTGGTAACCTAATCATGTTTAAACACTCAAAGGCTCAGAGATGCAAGAACTGTTCGAACTTATGGACTTCAACCTTGGCATTTCACTGATGAGAAAACTATGATGCAAGGGAAGGGGAAATGACTAACTCAGAGTCTCACAGCTGGTAAATGTCATAACTATCAAAATCCAAGTCTCATGACTGGAGATATTTAATGTTTTTGCCACCATACCTCAATGCAAATTCTACTGATATTTCTAATGGAGAGAAAAAGTTTCTGTATTCTAAGTAAACAAGTTACCAACAAATCACCGTGACAAAATTAATTTGGGGGTTGCCAGTATTGTCTAGAAGGCCAGGTGTTGTTTCAGGTGTGTGTGGGAAGGGCTCTGTAGGAGGGAGGGTGCTGCAGTGGCAAGGTTGAATATCAGGAAACTAATAATATGGGTGACCTTAGACAAGTCCCTTCCCTTCTCTGACCTGCAATTTCCTCACCTGTTTGTGGAAACCTGTTCCCAGTTGAACTAGAAACACTCTGGAGGAAAAGATTATGCTTGTTCCTCTAAGGTTCTAAGTCAATTTTCAGAGCCTGGCTCATCACTAAATAAGGCAGAAAGTTCAATAATTATTAAAGGTTGAGGATGTAGCTCAGTGGTAGAGCACTTGCTTGGCATCCATGAGGCCCTGGGTTCTACCCCTAGCATCACAAGAAAAACACACACACTGTCATACTTCAAGCCTCCCTCAGGTCTCTACTCAAATGCTGCTTTTTCAATAAAGTCTGAAAAATTTACAATGGCAAACCTGTGACCTGTCTTGTTTTTCCCCCACAGTATTTAGTGTCATCTGACTACCATATATTTTACTTCCCCCCCCCCCTTCTCAGAGCAAAAATTAGCTCTGCAGGGCAAAAATTCGATCTATTTCGCTCACTGTGGCATCTTTAGCCCCTTAGAACATTGCCTGGCACAAAGCAGACTCATTTTTACTTGAGTTTCAAAGCATAGCACATTTGTAAAAATGCAATAAGCAAATTCTTGATATTTGTGTCAATATAATAATAAAATCCATAAAATTTGGAGCTACCATTGCTACCCAAAATGTCCCAAAGGCCACTCATACCAGGAATAGTCCGTGAATACATCATTAATCTTTAATTTTCATAGCGACTCTGCAGTGTTGATTATTCTAAAGTTTCTGCAAAGGGTTGAGAAGGATAGGGGAACTTTCTGAACAATCTTTGCAACTTTTCCATATATCTAGATCATCCGAAAACATAAATTTATTAAAGGGAGAAGGATCTGCCCAGATAGGGCTCCAGGTTTCCCCTACGGATATTTCAGATGCCAGAGAAGGCTGACTCTCACGTCCTTTTCTACAGGGATCAGAATCTTGAGAGCTTCCCGTCAACTTCCACCCCCCAAAAGCCACGTTCCCATAGTAAGGATCTGCGCCGCCCTGGGCAGATCCTGGGAAGTTCCGGGCTCGCCCGGACTTGGATCGCAGTCCCTGCCATCTCCGGCTTCCTCAACCCCTCCTGGGCTCACTTGGAAAGCCACAGGCATGTTTCGGTACCGCCCCCGGGAGCTAGCCTCCTGGGCTCTTCTCGAAGGCTCAAGGGAAGTGAGACTGCCTGCCGTCGTCCCCCTGCTCCGCCGCTGCCGCTGCCACAGCAACCGCGCCCAGGAAAACCCCGACACTTCTGGGTCTCCCACCTCGAACTGAGTGTGAGCGACGGACCCCAGACGGCCGTCGCGGGGAGTTGCGGTCGCCGAACGCGGGGCGACGCGAGGGCAGCTCCCAGCGCCTGCCTCGACGCACCCCTCGGCCCCGCGGTGCCCTCGCGGAACTTTCGGCCGCGACCCCTACGACCCCCAGCCCTCCAGCCTCCATCCCGGGCCAGGGGCCCCACTCACCTGTGGGCGCGGCGCCCCTGCCGCCACCGGCGCAGAGCAGCAGCGCCCACAGCCCGTAGAGCCGCGCCGGCCGCTCCATGCAGCCCCTTGCTTCGGAGCCCGGCCGGGCTGGAGCCTCGGCAGTCTCCGCCTACTTAGCTCCCTCTCCCACTTCCCGGCTCCGCCGCCCTGGAGGCTGAGGGCCGGCGCAGACGGGAAGGGCCGCCCCGCCCACGGCCGCAGGTAACCCAAGCCGGCGAGCGCAGGCGGAGGGGGCGGGGCGCCGGCGGCTCCAGAGGCTCCCACTGCGCTCCAGACACCTGGCCTTGTTGCAGGCCACAGCCCGCCGTCTCCGAGGTCCTATCTCTGACCAAACACAACTTCTTCGACCACGTCGCGGTCCAGCTCAAGAGCCTGCGAGCCCCCGCCCTCCGCGCCGTGGATTCAGTGCCCGCTGGCGTAGCCGCTGGGTGCGCACTTGCGGGGCCTCAGAAGTGCCAAGGGCTGTGCCCTGCTGGACACTAGGGCACTGTCATCTGTGGAAAGAACCTTGGCCTGGGAGTAGGGAAACCTGCCTGCCAGCCCTTGACCTCTGAGCCCTTGTTTCTTAAACTCTGACTCCAGGGTTACTAACACCAGCCCTACTTCACTGGGTGGACTTGAAAGTCCAAATAGGAGATTTGGTAGCACCTGTGCTTTATGAGAAGGATAAACTGTATATCTGAAAGCTGGTGATGTAGTATATTGAGTTGCATTTTTATAAAAAAGCAACATTCCAAATATGAAGGACAGTACCATACAATGTACTTGTATTTTTGAAAGCACACAACCTATATATATATATTCAAGGACATACAATTGAGAGCATGGGATGAGTTGGAAGGCTACCATTGAATACATTGAAATTAGGTGCCTGTGAGAGGTTGAGGAAGAAGGAGAAAGAGAACCCTTATGAGTTTCCCACTGCTGCTACAACAAATCACAAATTTGGTCTCTTCTGGAGGTCTGAAGTCTCACTAACCTAAAATCAAAGTGCATTTCTTTTCAAGATTGTAGAAGAGAATCTGTTTCCTGACTTTTCCACTTTCTAGGCTGCCCACATTCCTTGGTTTGTTGCTGTACCACTCAGACCTCTGTTTGCTTCCCTTTCTGTTCCTGCCTCCATTTTTTCCCTTATAAAGACCCTTGGATTAGACAGGGCTTTCCAGATAATCCACAATAATCTTTCCAGCATAAAATCCTTGATTTAATCACATTTGCAGTCATTTTTACAATGTAAGACAATACATCCTCAGGTGCTAGGGATCAGAGTATGTTGTAGGAAGCATTATTTTATCATCATCCCCTCTAGGAAAGAGTCATGTCTGGATGGATTATGAGACTCATTAAGTTAGGTGCATTGGGGGCAAATTAAGTCAACGTATATACCTGAAAAGCAGTTGCAAAAAATATAGCAATAAAACAGCTGATAGTGTACCTAGTATCAACCTCACCCAAAGGGCATTGGGATGTTTAACCCAGTCAAAACAAATGATCCACTCTTGGAATGAAGGCCTTCAGGTTCAATAAATATTTATGAAGTGTTCTTCCAGGAACTGTGGAAGACAATCTTTATAACCAGACCTTGGCTGGGGGTGTCAGTGATAGAGTTTATGCTTAACATGCACAAGTCCCTGGGTTCCATCTTCAGCACCACGCGCGCGCACACACACACACACACACACACACAAACAGCAGATGGTGCCAACAAAGAGCTGCAGCCAGTTTAAGAGTCTATTATAAGGGCAAGAACATGGAATTATGGGACACAAAGAAGGGTGTATTATGAGAGCGAAGGCTTCTAGGAGGAGGGCCTGCCTGCATTGTCTCTTAGGGTGTTGATTCTTCTTGCAATTAAAGGTTCAGTATAAATCCTTGATATATATTTGAGTAAAGTCATATTTATGAAAACACTCCATAAATTATCAAAGCATATAGAACTGACAGATATTACTATTATTTTTAAATCCCTCTGCAAATAGGTTGGCCATTCTCTAACTCAAGGCCTCCCCTCCCCTATCACCACAGACATACACACTTGTTAACATTTGCTATAAACATTAATATAATGCGTTTATAATAACATTTCCAAAATGATATGTCATCTGCCTTTTAAGGAGTCTCCAGTTGGAAGAGGAGGCCCTGGGGACTGGCTGAGTGCCATTATGGGTACTACCTGGCATAGATCAAGCGGTGTTTTTAAAATAAAATAAACCATAATGCCAGCAAATGATTAGAAAAATAAGGTTTGTGACTTGTCATTAACCTCCATAAAAGGCCCTGAGAATTTGAGCATTGTGAGGAAAAAGAGAAACCGTGGCACGGGGATGGAAGGAACCTGATTTCCTTCCACCAAGATAATTCAGGCCTATTGTCCATGACTAAGAACCTGGAGTAGGTTCCCTTTCTTTCTGATCCTTACACATCCAGTAATAATTTTTAAAAAAATTCTTTTTGAAGGTGGTAGAGAGGGTTAGGAACGCTGTTTCTTCAACATAAAACCTTTCTTTGTAAATTCTGTTTAATTTATTCAAAGGGTATCTTGGATTGAATTAGGCCACTGTCCTGGTCTGCAGAAGAATGCAGATAAATGGAAAGCTTTCCAGGAACTGTATAAACAAGAAACTCTCATCAGTTTGGCTTTGAGTAATCAAAATCATGATGAGGAAACATGAAGTTTAGCTTTAACCCTTAGAGCCCTGATGACTTGGGCATGAGACTACCAGTCACCTGTCCTGCCTTACCTTGGGATGGCTTAGAGTCCTGGGCTGACCTGTGCCCCTCAGCTGCTCCAGTGAGCTGTTTTGATCTTTTTGATTTTGACCCTTCTCACTGAGGATCTCCCTTTATCTGTAAGTGGAAGTGGAAGAGGATAGAGACAAGAAAACATCTGACAGGAAAGAATGATGTCCTTTTTTGCAAAAGTGTGTGTCTCTCTAGCCAGTGAGAAATATCCTCATGAGTTCAAAAAGGACATAGGCACTAACATACACAACGGTTTAGCAGAAAATGCTGGTCTCTTAAGTAAAAATCTCACAAAGGATCTTCTACCATTTATCAAACAAAATCCAGACAGATCCTCACACCACTGCAATGCAATGAGAAAGGGGAAGTCACAGAAAGGGAATTTCCCTACTTCTGACTTTAGAGCAATGGTCCCAAGAAGAGGTGAAATTTTGCCCCCCCCCCCCAGGGGACATCTGGCAATGTCTGGGGATATTTTAGGTTGTCATGACTGGGGGAGGGGCCTGCTTTTGAAATCCAGTGGGTAGAGGACAGGTATACTATTCGTATTCTAAAATGTATAGGATACCCTCCACAACAAAGGCTTATCCTGCTCAAAATGGCAATAGTGCCAAAGTTGAGAAATCTTGAACTAGAATACTTTTTGTTGTCTTTTGTTCATTGGTCTCTACCCATTGATTGTCCACTTGCTTGACAAAAATCAGTGGAAGATAAATGCTAAAATTACTTAGTCTTGAGGGGCTAGAGTTGTGGCTCAGTGGTAGAGCGCTCGCCTAGCATGTGTGAGACCCTGGGTTTGATCCTCAGCACCACATATAAATAAAGGTATTGTGTGAAACTGCAACTAAAAAAAATAAATGTTTAAAAAATAAAATTTAAAAAACTACTTAGTCTTGAGGCTTTCCTTTCTTGTAACTAGCACTCCCAGTGCCTCCATCCTGCTATCTAGCCATGTAGATGTAGTCACTTCCTAGACTGTAAACCATCCCATGGGTCTGTTCTCCCCACTCCTCACCTCCATGATCCTATTTCCGGTCTTTATCTCCAGTCCTGTAGACCGTTTATAGCAAAGGTCTTCAAACTGGTCCTGAAGATTCACCCTCTCCACAAGACAGATGTTCCCCATGTGAAAATCTGATAACTTCATTCCCCAGCTTATGCTTTTTAAATGACACCCCTCTCCTGAAATGCCACAAAAGGAAGTCCCAACTCCTTTACCCATAGGATTGCCTCTTCATGACTGATTGGATTCCTCAGACTTTTCCCAGCTTTATTTCCAGCTGGGCTCCCAGGCCACTCAGAACTCTAGCACTACTAGCTGACTGGCCACCTTCAGGCTGAATGTCCCTTGTGGACAATTTTGCTTATTTGTATATGTGTGTGTGTATTGGGGCAGGGGAGGGGACTGGGGATTGAACCCAAGGCCTCCAGCATGTTAAGCAAGTACTTTGAAACTGAACTACACCCCCAACCTTCTTGTGAGCACTTTTCTTTGGCCCATAACTGTTTAAATTCACTTGACTTTAGATGCCAAAATGAAAAAAAAAAAAATCACATTTTGCCTAAGGCCCCAGATCTCTAGGTTCTTTAAAGAAACCAAAAGTTCTGTAATTGTATTCGACCTTAGTTCCAGTGTGCAACAGTCATAAGAGGCCAAGAAGTAGCTGCCACTGTGTCTACAGAGCACGTGTTCCCTGTCTGCACTGGCTCTATGGCCTCCTACAGCTCCTAGGCCTGGCTTGTTAGGACTTCCCTTTGTGGCATTTCAGGAGAGGGGTGTCATTTAAAAAGCATAAGCTGGGGAATGAAGTGATCAGATTTTCACATGGAGAATATCTGTCTTGTGGAGGGTGAATCTTCAGGACCAGTTTGAAGACCTTTGCTATAAATAGTCTACAGGACCAGTGATGAGGACCGGAAATAGGACCAGCTCATTTACTACTTTCCTTGATCCTGTTTGACACTTCTGATATTTTTGTCACTACAAACCTTTTGCTTCAAAAGCTTTTCCATCACATATCACATTTTTGGTAGTTCTCTTAACCCCCAAATGCAAAATTCTGTTTCCTCCTGTGTGTAGGCTCACGACACTCAACAAGTTCCACTGTCATAGCAAATAATAGAGATTTGTGTGCATTCTATTTTTGCTACTGGAGCCAACTCCTTGGAGGTCAAGGACTCTGTCTGTCAAGAGTAACTCCAGAATTTTCACCCATAAGAAGCTTAGGGGCAGGATTGGAAAGGACATACATCCTTATCTTGAGGCCATGTATACACAGAAACACGCTGCTCTTAGATTCTAACTTTATTCAAAGTGGCTTGGGGACAACAGAGAATAAAATGATGACTGTAACTT